GATGACGTATATCATTTCGGCGCACCACCGCCGTACACTGCGGAAGAGCTGACGGGCTCAATACCACAGCCAGGAGATACTGGAGTGACGAGTAAGCGCAACCCGTCTTATTATCTGTAACTAGGCTGACTGGGGGCAGATGATGGTCGCATCGACATTGACTTGAACTCGCGACTGACCAAAACACTCGTCAAGCTTGTACCGAAGCATGACAAAGATGAACCAGAACTAAGCCGAAGATTCACTGTTAGCCGACTATGGAGTATCCGTCTGAACATTGTCATCCAAGTCGTAGGAAGTCGAGGCGATGTACAACCGTTCATTGCCCTCGGACAAGAGTTGCAAAAGTACGGCCACCGTGTCCGCATAGCGACACACAACACGTTCGAAGGCTTCGTAAAGGAGTCAAATCTAGAGTTTTATCCTATTGGCGGGGATCCTAAAGAGCTCAGTATGTTATGCTGTAAAGGTCCGTACGTACCTTGTTAACATGCAGCAGTGGCCTACATGGTCAAGAACCCAGGGTTGATACCGTCCATGAAGAGTCTTCGCGAAGGCGATATCCAAAAGAAAAGGGAAATGATCGCCGAGATGCTCTATGGCTGCTGGCAGTCATGTATCGAACCGGACCTCAAAACTCAACAGCCATTTGTGGCAGACGCAATCATCGCCAATCCGCCTAGTTTCGCGCATGTACACTGTGCCCAAGCTCTGGGCATTCCACTCCATCTCATGTTTACCATGCCTTGGAGCAGCACCCGAGCCTTTCCGCATCCGTTGGCCAACTTCAAGAGCGACGAAATCTCGACCGCCCTCATCAACTATGCATCGTATGGCGTCGTCGAATTTCTAACGTGGCAGGGTCTGGGTGATGTCATCAATGGTTTTAGACATTCCTTGGACCTTGAAGAGGTGCCGCTATCAGTCGGACCTGTACTTGCTTCTGTACTCAAAGTGCCTTTTACGTACTGCTGGTCTCCGGCTTTGGTTCCGAAGCCACCTGATTGGGCAGCGCATATCGATGTTTGCGGTTTCTTCTTCCTCGAACCAACGCCGTACACGCCGCCTCCGGAAATTGATCAGTTCCTGAGAGATGGGCTCCCACCGGTCTACATCGGCTTCGGGAGCATCGTCCTCGACGATCCTGCAAAGGTGACATCAAGCATCCTGGAAACTGTGCGCGCCCTGGGTATCCGGGCGATCATCTCTAGAGGATGGAGTAACCTTGGGGGCGACTTACCAAACGACAACAAGGACGTTCTGTTCATCGGCGACTGTCCACACGAGTGGCTGTTTCAGCATGTTGCAGCGGTTGTACATCACGGCGGTGCAGGTACGGCTGCGTGCGGACTACGTAATGCATGTCCTACTGTTGTCGTTCCGTTCTTTGGAGACCAGCCGTTCTGGGGAGAGATGATAGCAGCAGCGGGAGCCGGTCCACAGCCTATTCCCCACAAACTTCTGACAGCCGAAAACCTTACAGCGGCTATCCACTTCTGTCTCACGCGCGAGGCAAAGCAGGCCGCACGGGGATTATCTTCGCAGATGGCGAACGAGCGAGGCGTCGAGGCAGCAGTACAATCTTTCCACACCAATCTGCCTCTCGAGACTATGCGATGCGCACTGCTACCTACACAGGTGGCATCGTGGAAGGTCAAGAAAGAATCCATCCTTCTTTCCAAATTAGCGGCACAGATACTCATCGAGAATGGTTCCATCGATCCCACCGATCTCGAAAACCACGAAACCGATCCTTTCATCATCACCAATCAACGCTGGGACCCCATAACAAGTACAACTTCGGCGTGTGTTGGCATTGTCGGAGACATGGGTATGGCAATGAAGGGCATGGTTGTGGATCCCTTCGTTGAGCCTAAACACCCTGCTACATTCTCAGGAGCCTCAGCGTCTTCAGGAAAGCCGGGTTCAAGCGGCGCAGCTGCCGCAGGTCGCTTTGCCAAAGGCTTTGGTAGATTTGTAGGTGCATTCTATAAGGGTACCATCGTCGACCTCCCTCTCGCTGCCACGGAAGGTTTTCGCAACGTGCCAAGGTTGTATGGTGAAGAAGTTAAAGACCATGGGGAGGTCACTGGCGCTCTTTCTGGCTTCCAAGTCGGTGGCAAGACCTTCATCCATGGCTTTGCCGACGGCCTCTCGGATCCCTTCCGTCAGACGTATGAGGGTGGGAAGAAAGAGGGTGCGATCGGGTATGCAAAGGGCTTCGGCAAGGGAATGTCCGGATTGATCACGAAGACTGGCGCAGCAACCCTTGGGATTATAGCATACCCTGGAGATGGCATCGTGAAGAGTATGAAGTACTTGGCGAAAGGCGGCACGAGAAAGCGCATCAAGGCGGCAAAACGGGGAGAGACTGAGTGGATGGGCCGGAAATCCGAGGCTGACCTGAGAGCTGTGGAACTCATCCAAGAGTTCGACAGGCTAAGGAAGGGCAAGGCGAAGGTGAAGACGTAAGGGGCGGGATGATCTGCGGCGTTAGGAACTTTGGAGTTCGGACACATACCCTATTCAAATGATTATTTCTTTACTTCGCGAAACCAGCCAGTTCGCATTTGGAGTCAGAGATGCCTACTCACCTTTGTTGTGACGTGTCGTAACGGCGAACGGTCCCCCTTGTTTGGGGGAACGAAACGGGAAATCGGGTCCACTTGGTTGCCTAATTTCGGTCATTCCGCTCCGAATCCCGTCCTTTCGCGCGCTGCGCGTGCACAGCCAACCCCATCATGCTCGTCTTTTTCGCATACAGATCGAGTACCTGGAATACAGACGAAATCCTATCATGGAAACGGACGCAGTAGGCAAGACCCCTGCGCCATATGGTCAGGCATGTGGCAACTGCGTTAAAGCGAAATGCCGATGTATGTTACGCGACGGCGGTGTTTGCGACAGGTGCGCCATCCCTTTGATCAATACGCTCACTATGGAGCAATCACACTCTGGGATGCACGTCAACCTAAGAAAAAGCCGAACACCCTGGAGCCTACATCGACGTTAGGTCACCTAGTTTGCATGCTTTTAGGTTGATGTAGGTCCAAATCGCTACCTTCCGCGCACTCGGGCTAACTTGAACGCAAAGATGTCACCGCCTAGGTAAAGAGTGCAGAGCTTCATCAGCTGTGCGCAGGAGGGCACCCAGATCAAACCAAGCGCCGAAGAGGTCAAAATTGGAGGACAAACTCGATGAAGTCGTCTCTTTGCTTCGAACACAGCGCACAGCACCCCTCACGACATCGCCCAATGATCAGCTCGTGCTAACACCCGACTCCTCCGTAATTCCCCACCAGGGGACTGGTGGTCTTGACAACGACAAGTACTTGTCTAGTGATCAGTTGCACGACTTCCGGACGAGTTATCTATACTATTTCCCCTTCATGCCCATGTCGGAGAATGCTACCACAGACGAGCTTCATCTCAAATACCCGCTATTTTGCCATGCTATCCGCACAATACTCACTAAAGCAATAACGAAGCAAAGCCAGTTGAGCAAGCACTTACGAGAACAACTGGCTTCCAGGATCATTGTGCAGGGAGAACGGAGCATTGACTTGCTCTTGACTGTCATCATGTGCATAGCTTGGTAAGGACGCAGATTATGTGTAGTGTTTCCATCTTTAATGCTGTTAGGTCACCGTACTTCACGCATGGGAAACAGTTCCTGGGCTCCATGTGCGGTCTTGCAAAAACGCTGGTTAGCGATCTCCGACTCGACAAGCCTACGCAACCCGCGGGATGTCCAAGCCTAGGCCCTCGTGTTGATAACAAGGAAGTTCGGAAGACCGAGGGTAGTAGAGCATTTCTATCTGTTTTCATATTATGCGCCAAGTAAGTTTGCAAGTAACCTCATCGTAGCTCAACTGACGCTAGAAGTGTTGCTGTTATCTTCGAATATGACCTGATGCTTTGGTCGTCGCAGATCGAAGATGCGTGCGATCACCTCAGTAAGAACAAAGAATGTGAAGGAGACGTCATACTGGTCGCCGCTGCGCGTCTGGCAAAGATTGTTGTCAGCGCCGCCGAAGTATCACGAAGAGCTTCGGATGACCACAATACAGCAAGGCATGCTATGATGGCTATTGACCCTCTGATATTGGCGCTTAACAACTTCAAAAGTTCACTTCCTATTGAAATTCTACAGCACTGTAAGATCATTGTTCCGTCACCTCTTCCAGCGCTCAAAGTACTCCAGGGTTAATTATCGGTCTCACTCAAACGGCCCAAGTTGCCATCTACGATCTTGCGCTCTTAACAAAGCCTACGGATGAGCTGTCAGTGTCGCATCTAGCGTTCGAGCCCAGGCGCATCGAGTACTTTATGGAGCTTCTAGAGACCAGTAAAGCCTGTCGAGAACACGCTTGGAATGGCGGCGTCATAGGTCTGACGGCTCCATCGATGCTCGTGTTCTCGTATTGTATCAAGACCTTGTACAGATTCGCCAGCCTCAAAGGGATCCCAGACTGGATACCACCCATCGTCCAATCAAGCTTCGACATCGTGCAATGTCTAGAGAGGTTTGCCGAGATTGCTGAGCAGGCTAATATGGAATTCAAGGCCAAGACGGGTGAGGATACTCTTTTTGCTGCGGCTGCGGAAACGCTAAGGGCTATGGCACCAAACTGGAAACTCCCAACCACGGAGCACAATGACGACATGGGTAACACAGCGGATGGATGGAGTGGCGGGTTTGGTGATTTTGGGGCACTGGACTTTTCGAGTGACTTCTGGATGCCCAGTGCATTCAATCTGTGAGCTATGTCCGGATTTTGCGTCGTCGCAACTTCCGAAACCCGCCAACATCAAACCAGGTCAGCGTGCGACTTCCTGCTATGAATAGCGTTCAAATTTCCTCTTACCTGATTATCGCACATCTTTATCGCTCTTTTGCCTTTTGCACACGAATATTTTACTGCATTTCGCTCGAAACCTACAACAACCTAGACAAATTCTACTTGAACCTGAACATACCTAGATTGCAGCCAGCCAAAATGGACAGCTATCGCGACACGCCGCCACCAGATCGATATCTCAAGGGTCCAAAACTCTTCACCCTTCTCGGTAGCCTGACGCTAGTAACATTTCTCGTCTGCCTCGACACCTCCATCATGGGTACTGTATGTATCGCTTGTGTCGCGGGTATAATGATCCGATCCTAACGGTATTAGGCAATACCGCGCATTACATCCGAGTTCCATTCGCTTCCAGATGTAGGCTGTAAGTATAACTGCGAAACCGCGATGTAAGACGTATACTGACTTTGTATGCCTGTAATTAGGGTACATTGGTGCTTTTACGCTCGCTTCGTACGTCGTCTTCTTCAAACAACTTTTTGTTTCCCTTCCAAGTCTGAGTGAACCACGTCGAACTGCTTATTGATGTCGCTACCAGAGCAACATTGCAACCACTTTCCGGCAAGCTCTACACACACTTCAACACCAAGATCGTGTTCCTCACATTCGTATCTTTGTTCGAACTCGGTTCCCTACTTTGCGGTGTCGCCAGCTCCTCGGCTGTCCTTATCGCAGGAAGAGTCGTTGCCGGCTTAGGAGCGTCTGGCATCGTGAACGGCGCCATGACGATCTTAGCAGGGGCTGTGCCTATGGAGAAAAGTCCAGGTATGTTCTTAGCTCCATAGATGTCAGAAGGTTCACGCTAATGGTACGCGACAGTGTACACCGGTATAGTACTAGGGAGTAAGCATGCTGTACGATGGAAGTCGGCATGGTTGGATGCTGACGAGATGATAGCTGCGCAAATGGGCATTGTCGCAGGTCCACTCATCGGAGGTGCTCTGACTGAGCATGCGATCTGGCGTTGGTGTACGTAATGCATCTTGTTGCGTTGTGCTTTTGTCTTCTGAAGCTGACGGCGATGCGAACGCAGGCTTTTACATGAACCTACCCATCGGCGGAGTGGCAGCCGCCATCATCGCTTTCGTCCCCATTCCCGAACGCACGACGAAGCCGCGCATAACTCTGTCTCTCGTCCGCAAGATTATACCCGACCTCGATCTGCTCGGCTTTGCTCTCTTTGTCCCTCCGTCCGTTATGCTGCTTCTCGCCCTCCAGCTGGGTAGTGGCGGAAAGTACGCTTGGAGCTCCCCTGTCGTCATCGGACTATTTTGCGGTGCTGCAACATGCGCCGCCCTCTTGATACTTTGGGAGAGAAGAATGGGCGACCAAGCCATGCTTCCAGGTAAGCTGCTTGGACAGCGCATCGTCTGGACGAGTTGCGTGTACGCCAGCTGCATTATCACTTGTATGATGACAGCGAGTGTTTGGATGCCGACGTACTTCCAAGCCGTGAAGGGCAATGGCCCGACTGATAGCGGTGTACACGTACTGCCGAGTATCTTGAGCCAACTTCTTGTCGTTATCGCTACGGGTGCTGCAGGTATGTCTCCACACTATCAAACTCATGCTTTCGGTAGCTTATTGTTCATAGTATCCCGCATGGGCTACTATCTTCCCTGGGCGCTCGTCGGCGGTATTATCACCGCAATCGGCAACGGTCTTGTGTCAACGTTCACAGCATCTACGAGCGCCTCGGTCTGGATCGGCTATCAGATCTTGTTGGGCGCTGGCCGAGGATGTGGCATGCAGATAGTAAGTCCAAGTCCTGCACAGGTTAAGGTCGCATCATTGACGCTTTCAGGCCATCATTGCAGTGCAGAACGCCGTATCTCCCGCCCAATACCCGGTCGCTTTGGCCAGTGTCGTCTTTTTCCAGAACCTCAGTACATCTATCGCTGTCGTCATCGCGAACACGATCTTCGCGCAGACACTTCGCTCCGCCATCACACGCTACGCGCCTACAATATCGCCCCAGGCGGCGGTTGATGCTGGATCTAGTGCCAGTGCTGTGCGAGCTCTCGTCCCGCTTGGAGAACTAGATAATGTGCTAAGAGCGTACTCGGAGGGTCTGCGCGATGTCTTTTACTTCTTGGTAGGCATAGCATGTCTGGCTACTCTTGCCAGCTTGGGTATGGGCTGGAAGGATATCCGGAACAAGCGCAGCAAAATGGACATGAATGTTGAAATGGATGGGAGATGTGAGACAAGGGACAAGCAGGCGGGTCATGTAGATAGCTAGCTGAAAGAGTAGCTCAAAGACTGTGGATTTGTAACTCAACACGCTGGCACTGATGATTAAATATCTTGATAAGATTTACTTAGCAGCCTCCATCCAATCATGAATGCGCTTCCATATATCATCACTGTTCTTCTCCATAAACATCATATGCCCATTGCCATGAATGCCGACTTTTCCAAGCTCAAGGTTCAGCCTTGGAACAGCCAGCTTGCTTGAGAAAGTTGACAGTGCAGTAGTCGTACGGCGCGTGGTAGCTAGCTTCTGACGTAACGGTGAGAATGGGCAGCGGCGCAAGATTGGGAAGTCGTCTCGGAGCTGGCTCGGCTGCTTGCAACACGCAAGGAACAGTAGCATTGTTACTTGTCAGGTTGGTAGGCTGATAAACCTGTTCCACTAAGTCGATCGCGGGGTCAGTGACCGGAGGCGAATAATTCATCGGTATGTCCGTCAAGCCCTGTAGGTTTTGAAGTCAGCAGCCATTTCAAATGAGACGGAAGGATTGGTGAACCTACCCATTGCCTCGCTGCTGCAGACCCAAAGACTGCTTCCTGGAACGGCGGACCAGTCGGCTCCACCAAGAGGAGGCCCTTCGTGAGATGGGGCCGCGCATCAGCGATGAGCAACGGCAGAAGACCTCCTTGGCTGTGGCCAAGCAACCACGCGGGAGTACCGATCGAGTCCAAAAGCTGTGCTCCTGCTGCTTGCATGGTGCTCTGTTGATAGGTGGCATTCGATATGAACTGTACGTTGGAGGAATAGAAAGCGTCGAAGATAGGATCGCCCATCACTCCCAGTCCTGGCCATTGAGTATGAAGGGTAGATTGGGGCCAGAGGCGATATTGCTGGGGAGCAGTGAAGCGTTGCTGGATGAGCTCAGCAGAATAGGTCGACGGCACATCAGCACCAGCCATTGGTGTCCAGGCGGAGCGGCCGCGGAAGGTTTGATCCACGATATACACGGTATGACCAGCCTCAAGGAATCTTGAACTCCATGATATCCCTCCGTCTGGCTTCACGAGAAAGTTTGTGCCCGTCTGCGCTTGTCCGTGGATCAAAACAACAGGATCCGTATCCTGTTGTTTGGTGGACACTGGCGTTAACTTTTCGACATACATTTGATCCTTGAATATATGACCACCCTTGCCATCTTCACTATAGCCACCCCCGACGTAGAAAGATGTCCGGACTGCAGGTGTTTCCGTTTCCGCATGATGATGGTTGTGCGCCGCCGCAAAAGAGATGAGCAGTGCAAGGTGATGTAGCAACATCATGACGTGCTGATTTGAGGATTTTTTGCTGAAGGAACGGAAACAAGATGTCGATGAAGGATGCGGCGAGAACCGAGGTCAATTGCCGTGTGGAGTGGGCTTGGCTTGCAGCTTGTCGAGCTATGCCTCGATGATCTTTCTTGCAGGGGCCCATGCAGCTACGAGGCATAAGCGGCACCCTCAATACTGAGAAGTCAAGCGTGTCGAGAGGAAGCACCGAATTGCCACCACACGTATGGACATGAGAGTCAAAGTCAAAGCCATGAGCTGGATTTCCTGGAAACATGCTGTTCAGAGTCTCCGCGTCCTCTGTGCCTGCGGTTGTACCTCTACTCGCATAGCAGCAAATCTGCCATCCTTGCCCGTCTCCGGGTCAAATCCACCATACACCGTGTCCTGCTCTTCGCTCGTAACCCTTGCCAATTCCTCCGCACTCCCTGTGCTCTTCAACGACGTGTTCCTGACCAACTCAAAGTTATCGCGACTATCGTCGGGAAGACGTTCGTGGTGCGTAACGCGGACCTCGTTGGTGACAAAGATTTGGGTCCAGGAAGCCATGACGGTGGGCCAGAATATGGGCATGGACGCACACATTATCGCGAAGTCGATTTCGAGGCAGGAGATGATGAGGACTTCGGGGTACCACCATGTGAAATCGAAACTTTGGGTCATGCTTTGACTGTTCTTGAAAGTGCTCCAAAGGCGAAGGATAGCCATGAGTACGACACTGCGTCTGTCAGTGGTGACGCTGTAGTGTTCAGAATCTGCACTTACATCGAACCGAGGGCGAACAATCCAGTCATGGCAAGCACCTGTTTCCGTCTGAGATCTTTCCTAAAGTATTCCGTGATCGGGACGAGGAATATGGCAATATCGAACGCCATGTTCGTCGCAGCAAACGCGAGTATCGTGAATTTCGCCTCATTGATAGTGCGATATCCGAAGCCGTAGCATTTAGAGCCAGGTTGTCGATCCCAGAAGTTCCTTACTGGAAAGCAGGGTACCCAAGCCATGAATGAGAAAGTCAGGCCCCATGCTATCACCAACGCGAGAAGTACGATGCAAATGATGCGGCGAGCGCCCTGCTGAAAGAGCCTCAGGTACTGTAGGAGTAGGGATATCTTGATGAAGACAGTGGTCGTATGATACGCGGCATTTGTGATATACAGCCAGATCATGGTTGGTTGCAACTCTCGTAAGGTGTAGATAAGATGATGACCCATGCCATAATTGGTGCCTGCGCGAGAAATCAGTACAACGACCACGAGTTTAGAGTCGTGCAGGCCTACCGTGGAGGAAGGCTATGATAGATATCAAGTTGAATATAGCCGCCAGGACTACGAAGAGGTCATCGAGACCGGGTTCACGAACAACTCGCAGGCGAGTATGAAGACGGAAGCCTACGACAACCCAGCACAAAACCTATGACGGTGAGTTTGTAGGACGTTTGTATTGTCGTGAAGGACCTACGTGGAATGGTATCGAGACACCAAACATCGTGCCTTTCTTGTTCGCCAGTGGTAAGGGCGCATTTGGGTTCGGGGGAGTTAGCATCATCTCCTCGACAATGCGAGTAAACTCGTCGGCCATGGCGGGCAAGTATCTCAGATGAGATTCGTTGAGATAACTGTGTGACAGGTGCCGTAGTCTGCCTGCGTGCGAAAGGCATCGATTACTCAACCTGCGAGCTGAGGAATTGCGACTTGCGCATCAGGTCATATCCCTAAGAGAGGCTCTACCCCATGTTCACAAGTGGCAGAAACGCCCTTGCGCATGCTGGTCTTTCAGCCGGCTCTGCTAGCGATGCCGGCTGAGTCGCGTACGGCTATGGATGAAGGCGGCCCTTTCTCCGCCAAAACTTAAAATCCAGGAAACTCAAAGTTGACCCTATACGACTCAGTGGAGCGAAGCCCGCAACCTCGTTCGAGCGCGGTGAGAAGCCGTTCGGACGGGAGCGAGTCTTATTTCCTGAACTACCTAGGATTGCGTGTGGCCAGGATAAGCTGGCGGCGATGGTGCGACACGCGAGGCACCGGTAACCACAAGAGCCGGAAAGCCTACTCGTAGATTGCGCAAGGAACTGTAAATTAGAATGACAGAGAACACTCGTGGAACACTGTGGCATTGAACTTTCGAGCTCACGGAGAATCTCGACATCGCCACGCAGGTGCCCAGGTGGTTAGCTGTTGAGTCGGCCGCGCCAACTCTTTCGCTGTCCTGAGTAGCGCATGACACATGGCGCAACCTTCAATTGCAGATCCGGATCGCCTGCAACATCAGCAGTAGGCAGCACACATCCGTTGACGTGATCAAGGACATCCCCGCGGAAGGTGCTGGGCGTGGGCAAGGGGAACCATCAAGCCCTGATCAAAGTTCAGAACCGGGCCTATCCGTGCCGATCTTGTGTAAACTGTTGAGCTGTGTGAGGCCTGAAAATGAACCTTCAGAGAGGCTTGAAGCAAGCTGGTGAAACTGTCGCCATCACTACCAGCCGCACTGAGCTAGCGATACGGCACCTACGTCGCCGCGCTGAGGCCACGAGAATCATGATAGCGAACGATGTCAATTCCTGCTTTCACCGGCAGCAGTGGAATTGTCACAACCTCTACAGCCACAGCGACGAGCGAAATGGCGAGGTGAATGAAAGTATTTTGAGATTGAAGGACAAGATGCCCAGTCGACATTGGATGAAATCGACAATTCTATAAACGTGGTACTTCCCGTCCCTTTTACCCGCCAAACGCCCGTAGATGCAGCAAGCCACAACGCCATAACTCATGCGACATTGATCTCGTCATTTTTAACTTCAGTCGTGCATCTTCATTTCCTCGAAATCATCCAGCAGTTGATCCATCGGAATCTGCAGGCCTTCATCCTCATCGTCACCAAGACTGCTCTCAGTCTCCATGGCATCTGCGTCGCGCTGCTTCTGTTCCTGCTGCGCCTTGTATAGCGCCATGGTAGCGCGCAGGTCTTGGTCCTCCTCGACGTCCTGCAAGAACATCTCGAAGTCGCGCTCCATCTTCTCCTGATCTTGCTTACGGGGCAGCATCTCGCCTTCATCCTTGTTGATGCGCTTGACGCGCCAGTTGCGCTTGTTCTTGTTCTTCTTGGATCGCTGGTAGTACTTCTTGACAAGCATGACATCTGGAATAGCGGCCGCGTACTTGTTGTTGTTTTCGAGAACGTCGAAGAGATCGTTGTTGAAGTTGGTGTTGCTGAGGAGGTAACCCATGACCGAGTCGCCGACGTGCAAGATACCACCAAGATGTGTGCGGCAGTAGTATGTTGTGTCGTTGACGCCCATGTCTGAGGAGCGGGCCACGGTGGCTTCGGCGAGGAAGTGGCGGCCTACTGACTTGCCCAGAGGCTCGATGTCCAGGACAATGAACTCGGTCAGTTCCTGTACGTCTGCGAGTGGTCGGAACGGTGTGCGCCAATAGATGTCCGTGGCGACATCAGCTGTCTGGAGGGTCGAAGGGTCGAGTAGTTGTATGGAGGTGCCGATGCGGGTGCAGAGCGTGAGGGGCGAGATGTTGCCGATCTTCTTTGCGAGGGGAATAGGGAGGACTACAAGATCGTCCTTGCAGATGGGTACGATTTCGCAGGAGAAGGAGAACTTGTAGTTCTTGGTCGAAGTGTGGATATCGTGTGAGATGAGCTCCTCGGAGCGCTTGATGTTGACTGGGATGACGGCCTTGAGGAAGTCGCAGAAGCCTACGGCATGATTCCTCTGGGAGAAGAAGAAGTCGATACCGTCGTGAACTTCCTTGATGTTGATGGTGTCTTTGTGGGCTCCGTGCTTGAGAATCAACTGCTCCAAGTACAAGAAAGTCCTCTTGTGTGGCACCTTCTGTCGGATCTGCACACAGGCCCTCCATGTGTTGTGGGTGTAACTCTTTGCGCAGTCTGGGCACTGGTTGTAGTTTTGTGTGTATTCGACCTCGAAGCTCTGCTGCATGATGGCGCCCTCGTTGATCTCGGACTGCACGGTAATCTTGACCTTGATCCTCCTGCTGTGGGGCTCCGTCCAGATGAAGCCGGCATCGATGATTCGCAATTTGTTCAGTCCGCGCAGTTTCTTCAGGCAGAGGGCGAGCAGTTCGCGCGATTCGGGGGCAGCGACGACCCAGGTGGTGGGCGGGGAGAGCCATCGGTCGCAGTCGCGGCACATGAGCAGGATTGCCTCGCGCTGGATGCCGCCCGTCACGTCCGTCTTGAGTTTGATGCAGTCGTAGCAAAAGGCGCCCGAGAGAGTGCCGTCGACAGGCGCGCCGCAGTCTGCGCAGAGAATCGTGGCCGAGTTCTTGGGCTCAGGCGCGAAAGAGCGCTGAGCATCCATCATGACGCCCTCCATGTGTGCGGTGGTGTTTGGATGTGAGTGGTTTCGATAATGCGCGTCCCTCTAGGTATCAGAGGACCAGGAGAAGGATATATAAGGAGAGAAGTAGCGGTCGGGTGTGAGTCGGACAGTCAGTGACTGCTTTGAAATTGGTGCCCCGCGTGCCCGATGATTTTCAAAAGTTCGCCGCAAGCCCTCTTTCGCCCCCACTAGCTCTCTTGGCAGATGCATCACCCAGCGACTACCCAGGACATTGTATGAGACTACAGGCTGATACACACTGGACAGACTTTCACTCTGGGTAGTGCCGTTTATAATTCGTGGCATGAACGCTTGATATATATCATAGTGTGCTGTCGTCACAATGCTGATGCTACGAGGCCAGACATGTGATGGAGGAGTTCATAGGTAGTACGCTAGGAAGAATCCACAGTCGGTGCTGCGAAACACCGATGTCATCGAGAAAGTTGAACTGCGCAGCGCCATGCCACCATTTGTGTCTGCTCTATCCCACACCATGTCTTTCTCTAGGGCCGCCTCTTCTAGGTTCATCTGCAATGCCTGTCGGAGTACCCAGGCTCGCCAGTCCACCTCAGTGTCTCGACCCAATGGCACATCTTTGCGCACCGCGTCTTCGACAGTCTCGCGATGCGCCTTCAGTACGAGTGCACTCCGGCGGGTAGACAAGAACGATCCTTCAACCGACGATCCCGGGTTCGCCTTCCTCGGTGACAGTTCCAAGCCTGTTAACGAGGATACTGTATCCCAGGAAGCCACAACAGACCCCTCCGACGGCTGGAAACCAGCTGCGCCAGAAGTCGCGACTGAAGCCTTGCCGTCTACAACGCCACCTTCCCAACAAGACAATGCCATCCCGTGGTATCTCAAACAACAAGCATCGGTCCCGTCGCCCGCATTGAACCCCGCCCAGATCCCAGACCTCCCCCCGAACCCGCCACCTCTCCTAGCGACCCTTCTCGAATATGTCTCCATCACGGCTGGTCTCGACGACTTGCAATTGCTCGACCTGCGAAACCTCGACCCTCCTCCTGCGCTCGGCCCCAAGCTGATCATGCTCATCGCGACAGCGCGCTCGGAAAAGCATCTCCACGTAGCAGCCGACCGATTCTGCCGATACCTTCGACGCGAACACGGACTGAAGGCAAATGCAGCCGGTTTGCTGGGTCGCAACGAGCTGAAGATCAAGCTGAGGCGAAAGGCCAAGCGCATGCGAATGTTGGCAAACGTTGGTGGTTCCGCACCCGAAGGCAACATTGACGACGGTATACGCACAGGCTGGATCTGTTGCACACTGGGGAAATTGGAAGCGCATCCCGATGACACACACATGCCAGGCGATGACGTGAAACAGTTTGTCGGTTTCAGGGACATCAAACCCGGCGTCAACGTAGTCGTACAGATGTTCACAGAAGAGAAGAGAGCCGAGACAGACCTCGAGACATTGTGGGGTGGAGTGCTAAGGACACATCAAAGGAAGGACAAGACCGCCGATGAAGCACTAAGAGAACTGGAGCAAGACATCGAAGATCTGGAAGAGGATGCCGAAGATCTTGATTATCGAACACAAGAGTCGCCGCAGGCACTCAACACGTCGCCCACCGAGTCTAGCAAGTCTGCCAGCCCGCCGACACCCGCGCAACAGATGCACCGACCACGTCCCACTCCTGGTGATTTCTTTCCGCCCGCTTCAAACCCAGAAAAGAGGAAACAAATACGCCGGTTACACACAGTTGGCCTCAGATGAGTGCACGAACGCTACGACTGAACGACCTGTACAAAATGTAGAAATACTGTAGAACTCGCTCCTGTGCGAATTGAAATGGTGCAGGACGTTACACTAAAAGAGACTTCAATGACACACTATAGTAGTGTTATGGCAAATAATTGGCTTTCATGATGTACAGGCAGCGTAGCAGCGCGCACGTAACATCGAGTATGATACATATAAAAACTAACAAAAGTAGAAACTACATACTACAAAGACACCAGCAGACCCCTCACATCATCACAGCCATACCTTGAGCGGTCTTTCCTGCCATTCCGCCCAGGTCGAAATGCTGCACCTGCTTCATTGACCCTTGACCTCCGGAAACATCGAGCACTGTAATCGCCGCGTTGGTGGTTCCATTGCCAGGACTCAAGGCATAGACAAAGTCGCCTGCAGCGCGGAGATCAATCAGACCAGGATCGCCATTAGCAGACAGATCGAGCTGCATGATGATGCTCGCGTCATCTAGACTCATCTCCACAACACGGTTGACACCGACGTCTGTAACGAATGCGCTCTTTGTTGCATCGGAAATTGTTGCCCAGCAGGTTGCTGCTTGACCGTCGATCTTCTGGGAGCCTTTGACTGTCGCTTGGCCTTGAGAGTCTACCGATAGGACGGCAGCACCAAAGGACGCATCAGTAACAAAGAGGGAAGATGGGTCGTCGGGCATGACAGCTGAGCCGAAGAGTACGGCGGTTCCTTCGGGTGAGCTGCGAACGTCTTTCTTCGATAGAGTGGCGGCGCCGTTGGAAGCTTGCACTGCGTAGGTGGAGAGGAATCCCGTGTTGTTCACGGCTGGATCGCCCTTGACGGTGGTGAAGAGGGCGGACTCATCAGATGAGAAGAACGCCTGGGACACTGTGTTTAGGGGTCCAACAGGGGGAGTGGTCTGTCCGAGGTCGAAGGGCCGGAGGTCGTCCATCTGCCCAAGCCCTTGCTCGGAGAAAGGTGCGCATGAGATTCCAGCGAGTGCACCCGTTGTTCCAACGCATGCGAGCTTGTTCTTTGCAGATGCCGCGACGGTGTTGGGGAACTCTCCAGGTATGGCCACAGGCTTGCCCGCGCAGGCAAGTGATGTGGGATCGTTGGATGATATAGTCATCATGGTAAGAGTATTGGAGCCAGCGTTCACAGCAAACAGGTTCTGAAACTCGTCAGTCCGACATTCTTGTTTATATTTTCCGGGCATGTGTAAAAACTTACGTTCCCAACGACAGTCAATGCCGACTGGCCAACCAGTGCATCTGGCGTCGCGGGCTTGCCATCTGCGTCAACAGCAACAGAACCCGCACCACCCGTCTTCATAACTCTGCCTTGCGAAAGCATACCATCGGCTCCAATGGGCAGCGCAACGACAGCGTTCTCGGCATCGTTAGTCAACATGTAGATGGCTTTGCCGACAGCAGGTTTTCCAGCACTCTGCTGCTGCATGCAACTCATGCCACCTTGTTGCTGTCCCTGGTGTGCGCCTGGACGGGGTCGTTGATGTGGTGCTGCTACCGCCATCGAAGGAAGGAGAGCGAAGAGGAATGATTTTGTGAACATGTTGGCGGTGTAGAATATGGCGTCAAAACAGTACAGAGATTAATAGCGAAGTGTAAATGGGTAGCTTGAGAGCGAATGTATGGAGAATGCGAGATAGAGAGTCCAGCTGATCTGTTGAATGACCCATCGTCAAATACACACCCTTCTCTTATAGAAACTGCCTTTGAGCCAAAGCCTCATACTATTGCGTTCCAAGAGACTGCGATTATTCGATCAAGATTCCCCAATCTGGAATGGCGTATAATTCCAAAGGACGACCGGGGGAGCAAGCCACTCCTATAGCCTCAGGCTGAAGATTACAAGGATTCTCCGCACCACCCGTCGCTTGGTTTCAAGGAAAATGCAGCGCGAAGAGATGGTACATATCGGGTATGCGGTAGATACGAAACGGTGCCTGTGTCAAGCGAGCGCTTCGTCGATCTATTGCCTGAACGAGTAAATTTGATTCTGAAGCAATCACTAGAGACGGCTAGCCTGGAATTCCCAGCTGAGGACAGGGCCAGGGCGCGCAATTTGACTTGTGACACCGTGTCTCAACTGCGCCCGTCAGACATGTCAACCGGGCCGTTGTCATTGGCGCGACATTTGGGATGGATACGGCATAATGGGAACACTAAACTTGGCATCTGCGCAGCACGCGCAGCTTCGTCGCCTTGATCGCTCTTTTCTTCCGAGAGAGACTGATCACCTATCGGGCTTCTGCACTTTGAGACCATAAGCACAGTGGTCCATTTCCGGTCTTCCTATCGGGTGGCTGACAGAACACCACATCTGAACACCTGAACACCATAGGCTGTGCACGTGATGAAGTTCACATTCAAGCCTTTCAAAGGCGACAAGAGTTCTCCCGACGGTATGTCCAATCAGGGCCTACGAAGCTCCAGGTACGGGTCGCTAAGCATGCATCTCGCTGTATTCAGACGATGGCGATACGCGTAATCCAGGACAGAGGCGGCGAGAACAGGTTCGACGAGCGCAGAAGTACGTTCGCTTCCGTGTACATATGTTAGGTGCTCTACTGAACATGAATCAGAACACATCGCGAGCGCAAAGAAGCATACACGGCTTCTCTCGAAAGTGAAGTAGTCCAGCTCCGCGCGAATGAAGCTCGATTGTCGCAGGAGACGAAAACACTGTATTCTGAAGTCGCTTTCTTGAAGAGTCTGCTGACTCAGAACGGCATTGCGATACCCGATAGATCAAGAGTAGGACTTGGTCAACAGGAAGAGGGAGCGAACGTAGGGAGTGAGAAGAGGATCGCTCTGACCGTTGGGCAAGAGGAAAACAAGAAAAAGAACCGACGGAAACAGATATACGTACAACAAGTGCCTCAGCAATCGTTACGTAAGTACACTACGGCTGGACTACGACCATTGTTCTCAATCTGTGGTAGCTGACACTTGTCATGCAGCCGGCTCGGCACAGCTCATAAGTCCGCCGTTGTCTGGCTCCGCATTATCAGGGTACACATCCACCACGGGTTCGCCTGGTGGCTCTGCGATATGCATGGGTAACATGGACCCAGAGTTTGTTGGGATGGACTTCGTCTTGACGTATGAGGTCCCCGTTGTCTTTCCTCACTGCGCAGTCACTAAACTCCTACGTATAGTCTTGAGTCTCCCTGTTTACCACATATCGATGTGGCTTCGCCCAATACTGGCAGATCCGACACAGATACTTCTGCTTCGACCGGCCACGCCTTGACTGTCTCAGCATGCCTCTTTCATCACCACCCTTCACCACCTGGGCAACGACAGTTCTCTCCTTCGACTTGGGAGGTTCCACATGCGAGTATCGACCAGCTTCTAGCACTGTCTAGTTATGTTCCGCTTCAAGACGGCGAAGTCACGCCAGTACAGGCGTGGGATTATATCCGGCGACAAGAGGGATTTGCGGGACTGGAGGCATACAGGTGGGACGGCTTGAAAGAGAAGTTGGTGGCATTAGTGCGGTGTTATGGCTTCGGTGGTGTGGTTGAGAGAGAAGCTTTTGAGAACGCCGTGTTTGAGGCTTTTGTGGTTGGGAGGGTGTTCTGAGGAAACAGGGGCATCTGAACTGATTCTCTCTTTGCGGAATACGAATCAAAGACCGCAGATTGCGTACACCATTACGTCGGCTCTTTTTGTGCATGGAGATGGTAGTGCGATAGCGGCGAGGTGAGGGCTGCAGGGCCGCGACTAGTTACCATGGTGAGGGTATTATTCCCGAACGCCCAGTCATCATCGCTGGCAAATGGCACGGAGGTCGTGTGTACGATACCTATTTCTTTCCACTCAGTTGGCATTCCATCCAGTCTTGTAAAAGTCACCGATAGTAACAACATTGTCAAAAGAGCCTGCTCCTTCTCTTTACTATTGGCGGACCTCGGCACTGAGGAGCCATCCTTGCATCATTCATCGTAACAAGCGAGATACGGATACGGGGTATGCGCGGCTGAGTGGTTTGGTTGATGGCGGACCTCTGGACCTGCGTCGCGTGTCGCTTCCTCAACTCCCGCAGCACGTAGCACGCAGCAACGGACAAGTCAAAAGTCTGCCCGATTTTGAGCAGCACAGCGCGACGCCAACCAAGAATGAAGAAAACTGGGGAAGGCAAACCCACTAAACGCTCCCGAAAAGCTTAGCCCTCGACTAATCGATAGATCGCCCAATCGACAGCCCCACACCAAACAACGACAGCAGCGTCATCAGCGCCTACGTCGCCACCTCGGGCCGGGCGACTTGTCAGCATAGCCACCCAAGTGATAGAAATAGTATAGTACCTGCAGCAGCCCGTAACCCGTAAGACACGCGTCCCGGGTTCCCTAGATCCAAGGAAAACAATAACTCTCCGGCTGCCCCGGAAACACTGCGGTTCTTTGTTCATTATCCACCCACTCCGCAACCAAGCTTTTACGCACTGCCTACCAAGCACTGCGCTGAGAAAGCTTCGAATACCCATTCATTCATTACCTACATTCGTTATCGACAATCAGCATGGTAATGTGGAAGGGTATTGTTTCTGCTGCCGTCGCAGCGCTAGCCACCAGCGGGGCAAAGGCAGCCAGTTACGACGACATACCAGACATTGAGGTCTATGGCCAACATTTCTTCTACACAAACAATGGCTCGCAGTTGTGAGTACACGCCCATTCTGCCAGTCTAGAGCACGATACTGACAGCATCCAAGCTATCTGAAGGGTGTCGCATACCAGCAGAACTACTCTCCCAATGGCTCGACAAGCGCCGATACCAAATACACAGATCCATTAGCCGACGGCGACGCCTGCCGACGAGACATTCCCTACCTCAAGCAGATCTACACAAACGTCATTCGCGTATACGCTATCGATCCGACCCAAAACCACGATGACTGCATGGAGCAGCTCGCCAGCGCAGACATCTATGTCATCTCCGACCTGGGAGAGCCTGGCACGTCGATCGAGTCGAACAACCCAGAGTGGGACGTCACGCTGTATCAGCGATACACAGGGGTTATCGACGCGCTGAGCAAATACAAGAATGTCATTGGCTTCTTTGCTGGTAACGAGAACGTCAGCAGCGATAACCAAACGGCTGCCGCCGGATTTGTCAAGGCTGCTGTCCGTGACACCAAGACGTATATCCAAAACCAAGACTACCGCAACACGCTAGGTGTGGGTTACGCGACTGCCGATGTGCCGTCGCGCAATGAGCTTGCGCACTACTTCGCGTGCCAGCCCGGCGACTCAGGAAACAAGACCTCCATCGATTTCTGGGGCTACAACGTCTACTCGTGGTGTGGCGACAGCAACTACGCTTCTTCTTCCTATGGCGAGCGCGTCGATTTCTTCTCCGATTACCCCGTCCCTGTCTTCTTCGCTGAATACGGATGCATCGAAGGTTTGGATGACGGTCCCACCAGCCGTCCATTCACCGAGGTCGAGGTTCTCTACGGCAACATGACTGACGTCTTCTCTGGCGGTATCGTCTACGAGTGGTTTATGGGTGAAAACGACTACGGACTCGTTTCGCTCGCTGACAATGGCGCCAGCGTATCGCCCTACCCCGACTTCACATCTCTACAAAGCCAGCTCGCCTCCGCCACTCCAACTATTACTCAACGATCTGAATACACACCCACCAACTCGGCACCTGCCTGCCCCTCAGTCGGTGGATCATGGCTCGCGCAAGCCTCGCCACTGCCTCCCAACGTCAACCCCCAGCTATGCGCCTGCATGGTGGACAGCCTACAGTGCGTCTACAAATCCGACGATGACGACAAGTACGCCGACGACTTCAACTTCATCTGCGGCGAGAACGAAGATTACTGCAACGGCATTGCGCGCAACTCTACAACCGGTGACTTCGGTGCTTACTCTGGCTGCGACCCCAAGGACCAACTTGCGTTTGTCGCAAACCAATACTACATTGGACAGAAGAAGCGCGCAGATGCTTGCAGCTTCTCGGGCAGAGCTAGCATCCAGAGCGCTACCACTGCTGGCAACTGTGCCTCACTACTGAGTGCTGCAGGCAACAAGGGCGATGGCAGTGTACCTGAGGCTACGGGTAAGGGTACTGCGGCTGTCAGTGGTGGCAGCGGCAGTGGTGGTGCAGCAAGCTCCAGTTCTGAGGGTGCTGCTCCCAGCGTCAACGCACCTGGTTTCTTCGCCCACGGCGATCTTGTCATGGGTGCGTACGCTGTTCTGGCTGCGGGCAGCTTACTCGGTATGCTTGTACTGTGAGTAAGCTGAGGAGTAAGCTGGTAATGTAGCATTCTTGGATGATGTCAATGAGCATATGTGTCCAAGGTGGGGGATATCTTCTGGCGTTCATCATTTAGGGATACACATGAGCAATGTAATTCAAAGTCTTTCTATACTTCTATAACTGTACATGCTGCATGTGTCAAGTCGAGGCTCACCTGGTCTATGAAGATGAGCACGTTAACCCTATCAAAACCGTCTTGCATGATGCATTACATCGTCAGATCAAGCTTTCAGTTACATGCGCATCACAATCATCGGGGATGTCAAGTTGCACCAACTGTCGATACATTCTATGATCTACGAGCTGGCCTTTTCTTCTTGTTTCTTTCTTTGTTCATGTAACCACGCTGCAGTAGCGCAGTACATCTTTGTTCTTGCTGCGATGGCATCGTCTCGTGCCTCGTAGCCCCTCTATACATTAGAGTGCCCAAGTGACCGTACGTACATAAAACCCTCAGAGATCAGACATGTCACATCTGAAATCTGACGACATGCCAATCCTGTCCTTTCCAGGGAGATATCGCTGTAGAAAAGGGAAGGCCCGGACCCAAATATACAGCATCCCCGACGCCGACGCTACGCTTGAAGCCAAGAACTGACATTATAACATCCTGCTGAAATCAATGTAAAGTTGATGGTTCGTGAACCCGAATACATTCAAGCTCGAAGATGAGCCCTTCAGCCGAGACTGTACAAGAAGCTAGTACATGTTGGGTGGCCCAGGACGACCAGGCTGCTGGCGTGGAGGTCCGCCGAATTGGCCATCGAACATCATGCGTGGATCTTCACCACCTCGCATACCGGGCATTGGGGGGCCGCCATAGCCAGGAGGTGGGAAGTAGCCAGGTGGGCCCTGCATGCCATTACCACCGGGTCCTCCCGGTCCGCCTGGAAAGCCTAATCCGCGGATACTGCCACCGGGCGGGAAGCCAGGAGGATGACCAAGCGGTGTATTGCCAGCTGAGAAGCTCGGTCCTCCAGGTCCCATTTGCTGAGGGTTGGGACCATTGAGGCCAGGTGGCTGGCGCATTGGACCGCCGAATCCTGGTGGTGGAGCAATGTTCGGCCGCTCTTGCGGTGTTGGCGGCATTCCTGGTTGACCTCGTCCGCCCATGTATGGCATATCCGGTACAGGCTGCGAAGGTATACCCATATTGGTTGGCATGCGCGGGTCACCTCCTGTGTTGCGGCGCTGGAGGCCCATGTGTGGATCTTCCGGGGTGGGATATCCCATTGGCATGCGCTGGTTCTTGGCTCGCATGGACTCCTGCTGTTGCTGTTGCTGTTGTTGTAGTCTTTGCATATGCTGAAGCTCCAATTGGCGATCGGCAGCCTCACGACGCAGCATCTCGTTCTCTGTGAACATACGAGGGTCTTCCATGAAACCTGGGGGCAGACCGCCACGACCCTTGGCCTGGTGTTGAGCAGGGTGCTGAGGCTGCTGTCTTGATTGCTCGAAGAAGGGCATGTTGTGACCTTCCTGAGATGGGCGAGGCAAGTTGTGACCCTGTACCTGCGGTGGTGTAGCGCGAGAAGGTTGTTGCATCAGATTCAATAGGAAGTCACGCTCACGCTGCTTCGTGACTTGATCGCGTTGCGTATCCTCGCGCTGACGACTGTTCAACAAAGCTGCGAGGTTTGCATCATGCGGGGCGTTACGTTGCGGCGGGGGCTGGTGAGGATAGTGATCTTCTGGATGACCAGAGTCAGGGCGTGGGGGTCTGAATTGTTCAGAAAGCGCATTCTCTGGTGACATGCTGTTGAAGCGCGATTGCTGTGAAGGTCGAGAATCCGGTGGACCGGCACGTGGAGCCAGAATGTGCTCCAATATGCTCTGCTGTTCGAGTGTCCTTGGAGGTGGTCTACCGTGCTGCGTATCCGGTGGCGGCGATTGCTGATGGAAGTCTAGTGAGATGCCTCCACCCTGCCTCATCCCGTTCGTTGGTGTTGGCATACTCGTAGGGGGTTGGGGTCCCGGGGAAGGCCCAGTGCTTACTTGACCAAGCATCTGGAGGATACGCTGGAAGCCTTCTTTGTCGGCATTGGCTTCCATGGCAGGTGCTGGCGATGCAGGTGCCGGGGCCGGCATTTGGCTGGGCGCTTGCGACTCTTCAGGTTTCGCAAACATTGTCATAAATCTCGACTTCTTATCTGGCTTGGGTTTCGCCGAGATGGTCTCTGCTGGTGGAATCTCTGCCGACTTGTCTCTACCCCAGTTGCCGAAGAGAATTCCCTGTGTAGGTTCGGCCGCAGAAGGCGCGTGCAGGGGCGCAGTCAACATAGGCGGAGCGGTGATTGAGACAGCCGTAG